TAAATAAATAAATAAATAAATAAATAAATAAATAAATAAATAAATGGAGCAAAATCAAGTCATATCACTTGACTTGGAGATATTTGTGTAAGATAGTGAGAAGTGCAATCTGTAGTAATTCTGGGTAATTCTCAGCCCTGCAGGATAGGCCTCCTGTGGGTTGGGGTGTCACCTACTGGGAGAGTATTTGCCTAGCATTCAGGATGCACTGGTTCCACCCTCAGTACAAAAGTAAAGCAAAATATCAAAGAATCATGAAAGATAAGTGTGTATACAAATAAGGAGAAGGAGAAAAACCTTGGGTAAAGGGTATTTAATGTCAGACAGACACTGAACAGCTGGGCAGAAATGAGGCCAGGACAGGCAGCCGGCCCTGACCTGCCAGCATGTCCTGTTTCTGAGACCTCCCTTGACAGAGGAGTGACAGCAGCAGCAGCAAGCACAGTCTCCTGTCCTGTGCAGGGTGGCAGTGCAGCATGCACTCAGTCCCAAGTTACAGCTCAGGTACCAACATTTGGTTTACACCTTTCTTGGCATGACAGGTAAAATGACCCTTTCCCTCTCAGTATAGAAGCTTGTGGTAGGAGCTTGTGAAATTCACAGGATCTCACCCAAAGATAGGTCCATCCAGAGTCCAGGGAGGCACAGATCCGTTGTGGTCACCTGTCAGAGTGACATGGGACTTCCCCCTATATTGGGGAAGGAGCTTTCCCTGCAGTTATGCACTCAGATAAGAAAGAGAACAGGTATGCTGTCCCTTACTGTAGCCAGCTCCATTCTGGAGAAGACCTAGGTACCCTCAGGGTTTAAGTGAGGTCTTCCCACCTTCCACAGGACCTCTGTGTACCCCAGCCAGGGTCACAGACACTCATCTGCCCAAAAAGGACTCCACATTTGAAACAAGATCATCAGCTAACCACTGCCTCTCTCCTGGAGGCTATTGTGGACAGATAGTCTCAAGCTCCTATGTCCTGAGAGTCCTTGCCCAAGGGTGGGGAAAAGCCTCTTCTCTCTCCCACTTGGTATAGATTACCAGCAAAGCCCAGTCCTCAGAGTGCCAGGGTCTCTTAAATAAGCTCTTCTTTTCCATTTTCTTCTCTTAATTATTTATCATCCATCCATTTATTTATACAAATATAAAATATATTTAGATATTTATATAATATAGACTTTGTGAGGCAGAGAGGAATGGGCTAGGGGCACAGGTACAGTTATTTACAGATGTACTGGTCAACAATCTCAGTGCACTTTTTGCATCTGACAAAACAGCACCAGTGGAATTTGCAGTGGCAACGCTCCACCTGGACGCTCTTAAACCGGTCATAGCCACGGCCACAGCACATGAGCTCACAGCCATCCATGCCCTCTGAGGTCTTGTTGCAGAGGCGTCCCTGGGTGCCCATCGAGCCTGTGGTCTCATTGCGCAGGCAGTAATCAGGGCTGGGGTCCACGTAGACCAGGTCCTCTGGGGTGGGCTGGTTAAAGCGGCTGTTAACCAGCTCCAGCTTGCCCTGGCGGGTGATGCGCATGGCGGCAGCACCATCATATTTCTCCTTCAAACGGTCTCCCACCTTTCGGAACTCGGCCAACTGGAGCCAGCAGGTCTTGAGGCTGCAGGACCCTGAGACCCCGTGACATTTGCAGGCAACATCAGCCATCTTATACACAGCCTGAGGAAAGAGAAAGAATGCAACAAGGAGAAACCCTGATGGACAAGGTCAATGAGGTGGAGAGGGTAGACTACTCCAGGTACACAGAGGGGCTGGCAGAGTTAGGCTGTCAAACATAGAGATCCTTCCAGGCTCCACAGGTGCTCAGGCACAAAGTGGATCCAAGAGATTTGTCAGTTTCTTCAGCTCTCAATTTGACACAAAACTTAAGAATTGTCATGATCATATTTGCCTATGGCCATGTCTGTGGGGCGTTTTCTTAATTACTAATTGATGTGGAAAGGCCCAGTCCACTGTGGGCAGTGCCATCCCTAGGCAGGTAAACCTGAGCTATAAAAGAAAGCTAGCTGAGTAAAGGTGTGGGGGGCCAAGCCAGGAAGCAGTGCTCCTCTGTGGCTTCTGCTTCAAGCTCCTTCCTTGGCTTCCCTCAGTGATGGACTATAATCTGTAAACTAAACCCCAAATCGCTTTTGGTCATGCTGTTTGTCACATCAGAAAGCAAACTAGAACAGAGCACCACCTCAAACACCAGGAGGCAGAAAATGTTCTTACCTACTACAGAGCCAGTATTGGGGGCCTTTTCCTGCCTACTTTGTCCAGTTCATATTCCACAATATGTATTGTGAGAAATGTATTACCTTAGCATACTTGCTTAGCCATGTACAGCACCGTAAGTTCAATTCCCAGTGCCACAAAAGGAGGGAAGGGGAGGGAAAGGGCAGGAGGAAGACCCATTTTTATCAGGGGAAAAAAAGTCTGTCTTACTATTTTTTTATGGCGGTGTTAGGGAACAAGTTCAGGGTTTGCACATGCTAAATGTGCAAGTTCTACTACTGAACTGTGTTCTCAGTCCCTGAAATCTCATCTTTGGAGGTCAGCGGACATCTTTTTGGGAGTTGGTTCCCAACTTGCACTTTGTTGTCTCTCCTGCTGTTTTTTTTGTTGTTTTTTTTTTCCTGTAGCCCCAGCTGGCCTGGAACTCACTATGTAGACCAGGCTGGCCTTGAACTCACAGAGCTCTGCCTGCCTCTGCCTCCCGAGTGCTGGGATTAAAGGCATGCATCACCACACCCGGTCCTTAAAACTTTTACAATTATTTAGAGTCAGGTTCCCAATGTAGCCCAGGCTGGCCTCTAACTTGCTCCAAAGATGACCTTGAACTTCAGATACTCCTGCTTCAAGAGAGCCAGGATCATAGGAATGTATCTCGGTCAGTTTATATGGTGCTAGGGATATCAATGCATATAATTCATGATAAAGCTGAGCTACATCTCCATCCCTCCTACCATCTGTTTGAGATGGGATGTTATCATGCTCTTCAGGTGGGTCTCAAACTTTTGGGCTCAAGGGATCCTCCTGCCTCATCTGCCCTAGTAGCTGGGACTATAGGTGTGGGCCACTGGTCCTGGCTCAAAATTTCAAACAAATAGATTTAACCCAACAAAATATGCCTAGCTCTTGCATAATATGGAACATGAGTCAGGCAAAAGAAAGAAACCAGTTGCTTCACCACTTCACAGGGCCCTGGCTAGCCAAAAGTCCTTCCAGATCCTATCAAGTTCTCAAGAACTGAACTGCTCCTTTTGAGTGTTGGCATTTGGTTGTCGGGAATCTCCTGTGAGCCATCATATTTTAAGACTAGCCGTCACCCCTCACACTTGGCTGGGAGCGCTATGAATGGTCACAGGAGGTCAAGCCCATGCAAAGAGAGCATGTTGGTGAGCCTACCTATGAGACAGTTCATTCCAGAACAAAGTGACCCTGGAAATCAATGAATCTCAACAACATGGAGTGGACCTGAACTTGGGTTATTCCCAAATCAAAATTATAAACAAGATTAGACCAGAGAGCAGCTTACAAAGTGCTTTTCAATGAAAGCATACTGGTCTGTTAATGTTGGCGGCTGGTCGAGTGCTACAGATGGCATGTCTGTTTCAGAGCGCCCTCTCCTGTGCCACGGCTATTGTCACCCACAGGGTCAGGACTCCTTTTTTTTCCAGGGTTTCCCTTAGATTTCTTTTCAAGCATCCTTCCTGATTTGTGTTTTAAGCAGCGACCACTCCAAGTGCAAGAAACAGTGTAACCATCACCAGCTCCCGGATATTTAAAAACTCGGTCTGATTTTCTTTCCTAGTAGGGAATTATTCTCATGGTTTTATGGTAAACCTCTAGGGAGTTTTGGGAATCCATCAGAACCACCAGAAGGGAGCTAAAATGGTAATCACTTCTGCACCCCAATCTTGTAGTTTTCGTTGGCTTCGGACAGGAAGGGAGGCTGTCCCCCAAGGTTAAAGGCAGAAGCACTTGGCCTGGCAGTTCCAGAAAAAGAAATAAAGGAACTGCTGACACTCCTTCTCAAAAGGAACTTCAAAGAAAGGGCCTGTAATTACCTCTGGCCTGAATCACAGGCCTGAGCTGCAGCCTGACTTTCTTCTGGAAAGGATCCTTGGCTTAGAGAGGGAGGGCAGTTTGGGGAAACATTAAGAGTCTGTGTACTTTATAGCCTCTAAAGGTAATATACACTGACAGAGAGAGGAGGGAGTTAGCCAGAACTACAGGGATGGACAGGATTTCCAATACAAAATTTTTTTTTTTTTTTGGCCTTTTTGAGACAGGGTCTCCCTGTAGCCCCAGCTGTCCTGGAACTCACTATGAAGACCAGGCTGGCCTTGAACTCACAGAGATCCACCTGCCTCTGCCTCCCAAGTGCAGGGATTACAGGCCTGTATGCCTGGCTATCTATAAGGAGGAATGCTGTTGTTCTTCCCCATTTGGAAATTCATCCAACCCTTGAAGACATTGAGACATTGTAACATTTGAATGTTATTTTCTTCATATTTTATTACTGATCCTTCAGCAAAGAAAGAGGGAGATCTTTCAATGTGTGGCACTCCCTGCCTACTCAAAAAATTAACAAAATGTGGGGTGGGGCTGTAGCTCAGGGTAGAGCATTTGCCTAGCATATACAAGTCCCTGGTTTGATCCCTGGTACCACAAACACACAAGATGACAAAATGATTTTTAAAAATGTTTTAATCCGGGGGCTAGAGAGATGCTCAGCAGTTAAAAGCACTGACTGCTCTTGCAGAGGTCTCTGGTTCCATTCTCAGCACCCACATGGTGGCTAACAACCATCTGTACCTCTCATCTGATGCCTTCTGACCTCCTCGGGCACTGCACAACATGGGTGCACTTATACACATGTAGGCAATACACTCATACAAATAAAAATAAAATATATTTTTTAAATGTTTTAATCTTAGGTATGACGGTGCATGCTTTTGATCCCAGCACTCAGGAGATAGAGGCAGGTGGCTTTCTGAATTCAAGGCTAGCCTGGTCTATATAGCAAGTACCAGGCAGGCCAGGACTACATAGGAGACCCTGTTATTTAAAA